AAAATTTTTGAATTTAATTTGACGGAGACAGAGCTTAGTTTTTGAGGCGGCATGTATTTTTCATTTTTGAGAAGTTCTCATTGTCGTCCAATTTTCTCCATGAAGCGACTTTCAAAACTGAAAAAAAAAGGTCAGATTCGTGATCAGCAGACCAAGACGCCTCAGAATATGTGTCATTTAAAGGAAAACAGAACATATGCAAATTTCGAATTACGCGTACGTTACTTTTATGTGTTTTAATTTAGAAGTTTTTTAAGCGTGGACTTACCTTTAACATATTTGTGATAAAATATTTTATGCGAACTCTGAATAAACTCTCCTGTCATTTGGTCTCCATGTGTAATAGAACTTTTTCATGCGATGGTTTTCTTTAAACATTGACGGATAAATCTACTGGAAAACAATTTAATTCGTTTTGGACGAAACCAAATTTAGAAAATATCAATAATAAGTAACGAATTTATTCTATTTCTTTCAATATATTCTTCTGTTTATTTCTACTAATTATGAATCATCTGCTTTTCTCTAAATAAAGGAAAAATTCGATAACTTCAAATTTGTTGTTTTCTCAAATTCATCGTTTCGTAGTAACTGTCATGGGTTGAAATTCTTTTAGCATTTTTACTAGCTCACTATCCTCTATCGATCGAATTATTGATAATAGAGAGTATTGTCTAGCAGTGTTTCTTCGCTAGATACACGATGCTACAGATGAAAAATGTCAGAGAGCAGTTTGCGAAACATATTTGGTATAAACTATAATGAGTATATATTTTTGCCGATTTTCATACTCGATGATTTCGACCCTTCCGAACGCTTTCAGTCGAATATACCCGACAGAATCTACTTGAAACCAAGCAACAGTTTAGCACCAACAGTATGACTAAACCCAGAACTCTAATTCTAACGATAAACGGCAGTGCAAAGGTATATTCTGTGAGAGTCAAATGTATGTCAAAATAAAGGAAAAGTACACTTCGCAAAAAGAAAGCCGACGAATAGAAAGTTGCGAATATGAAGTGGTGGCTTGCTGTATACTCGGATAATCTTTTGTAAAATAAGGTCAGCTGTTTCGGAACTGCTTTTGGCAAATATCACGTCGTTGACTGAATGAATATATTTTAAGAATGATCCACTGCGGAATGGAACCGGGGCTGAATAAGTTAACCGTTCGAGATAGATATAGGTGAAATAACTTTCGAGATAGTCTCTGAGAAGAGTGACGATAGAGCGTATGCGATGAATTATGTGATGTACCCGGGCCGCCCCGACCGATCTTAATTCTCGGTTTCGGCCTTGCCTAAGGGCCTCATCAGGGGGCTTCAAAAACTCAGAGGTGCTTTCAAGTAACAGGAAAAATTTTCTGTTTGTTACAGAAGCAATCTGTGAAAGGATATTTTCGAAAAAACGACGAAAAAAATGACTAAAATAGCAGTATTTTTGGATTTCGACTACGTTACACAACGTTTTCTCAACTTTTGATGTCACCACTGGATAGCCCTTGAAAAGTTACGTATACCGACGAAGTTTCGAGTTGCGTCAATATTTCCTTCCTCATCATTCAGGGTCAGAACTGCTTAGAAAACCACGGTTTACACAGTATAATATCCCTAAGTTTTTACTCGAGTCTTTTAATTCAAAAGTGATAATGTCAGTGGATGCAGAAAAAAATTCTACATCGATCGGTGTGCTTTTATTAAGGTTTAAGAAATATTTTTGTGAAGAAATGAATTTAGTTCTGAATTTTTGAGGTTTTTGGTGAAAACCTGTAATTCCGAGATTCTGACCGAACAAAACAAAAATGAAAAGTTTTTCGAAAACCCTGAGTGGGACCTCAGGCCTCGAAAACCCGACCGAGAGATTTCGCGAAAAACACTATCCGGAAATGTTCCTGGGCATGCTCTGACATCATTCCAAGCCGAAAATGTTTTGGGCCAGGAAAGGGCCTTAATGGCTCACGTCCTTTACATTGAAATTTGATCAATCATATTTTCACGCCGAAAGTTTACAGCTACTGGAAATAAAACCAATAAAAATCCTCGTATATAAACTTTCCCCAATGATTAGGATCCCAGTGATTAATCACTTGTTATTATGAGGCAGTGCAGTGAATGGTACTTTGACTTACATCAACATGTTACAATATATTTTTTATCAAATACAATATTTTCAAATATCAAGTCTGAAATAAATAAACAAACGATAACACGACTGTTTTGTTTCCTTTTCGTTCAGATAGATAAATTGTTTGAATAAGCACAATTTTCCACTGTTCCAGACCAGAAATCTGTTGAAGCCTAGATATTCTTTTGAAAAATAAACATTTTATGTATATTTAGTGATGGGCCGTAAGACGTAAGAAGCGTCATTTTTATCGTTTCGTTCTTTCGTCCGTCGTGACCTATAGATGTGCAATATAGATCACGGATGACGGTAGAAGTAAAGGAAAGAGAAAAGATAACGTAGGACGGTAAGGAATTGTTTTTTCTTACCGTACGAAACGAAGGAGTTACGTTTATTACGTGAAATTCTTAACGTAAGTGAATCATCCTTAACGAAACAACGTAAGTGTATCATACTTAACGAAATAACGTCAAAGTATATATAATACATTTATGTACAGACTATACATAAATACACCAGACAGTATCGACTAAAAAACCATACTATACAGTATGGTAGAGCGAAAGAATAATACATGAAAGTCCAGAATCCAGGCACACACACAGAGAAACAAAAAAGTCTGTTTAGCTAAAAAGTCTGATTTTTTGTCTAAGGTTTTAGAGCAGAAAAAATCACATAAATTCTTAATGCCATGCACGGAATAAACGACTATAGCGATACCGTAATTTTCATTCTTTTCTCTCCTTTCACTATCTGTCAATCAATACTAACGTCTAACGACTACACGACGGCCCATCGCTATGTATATTATGTGTTTCTCTGCTTCCCCAAAACCCAAGAAATTGAAAAATTCACAACTCCGTCAAATTTTTGAGTATCCGCTTGAAACTTTTACAGAAAATATCTACCAGATATCTATTTACGCTGAAAGTTTCAGCCTTCAAGCATGTTTCAGTTCAGAGATATAGAATTTTTCATTTTTCAAGATATATAGACAGAAAAACAGCTGTCTGTGGTTCTTCCTCAAAAACACATTATCTTTTCTTCTAATCAGCTGATTTTAGTTTGTAAACAAATCTAAGGGTTTCTTAACACTTAGAATATTCTTAATGTGAAAAATTTAGAAAAACACTAAATTAGTGATTAGTAGTAAGGAATAAGCACAAAGAGAAAAAAGACCTTCTTCTAGATATTTCTCTATCTCATTCGATACGAACTATACTAAAAGACAAAAGCAAACAACAAGATGATCAATCCTCACAACGTAAACCTACTCCTGTCGAATTTCAAAAAGCTGCTACCTACTGGCAAGCTGACGTATTTTCACACGCAGCGCGACGAAGATGTAGCAAAAAATTTGTTCCACAGCCTCGAATCGATTTTAAATCAGGTGGCAATAAAAGGTTAATGTTCGTACTTGAAAAACTTCTATCCGGCAGTTTCGAGGCATCTCTAATGATGGGATAGTGACAGACATTAGGTTGAGCTCCAGTATTTCAAAAAAGTTCTCAAATGCTAAACATAAAGACGAATGCAAATGAAACTCCAAGCGATGAGGAAATACTGACAGCTATCCCTTGAAAAATGAAAAATTCTATATCTCTGAAATGAAACATGCTTGAAGGCTGAAACTTTCAGCGTAAATACTAGATTAGGGTAGATATTTTCTGTAAAAGTTTCAAGCGGATACTCAAAAATTTGACGGAGTTGTGAATTTTTCAATTTCTTGGGTTTTCCGCTGGGAAAATTAGAAAAACGCGTATAACTTTTGAAGGAAGCAAATTGGGCCGATATCCTTTTAGGCTTTTTCATACCTCCATATGACCTATCGATCGGCATATGAACGAAGGAAATCGGAATCCTTCACGTTCCTTCGTCAGTCAGTTTATATTAAGATGTAATTATTCGTCTTCTAATCATAAATATACTGATTTTTTCAACATCTGTTCTATTAAATGAAGTTTATAATAATAATATTTATTATAGCTCAATGAATAAACGTAAGAAAAAGTAAAATATTCGTAATATGATTAAATTTAGTAGCAGATCTATGCTTTCTATAACTACCAGTTTCTGATTATTTTTGTCAACATCAGCTGATTTGTAGATTAGAGGCTGAAAATATTCCAAAACTTGTGTAGTTTAATAATATGAATATATATTTCTACCGTCCTGGGGTTACTCATAATTTACAATGCTGATCAATAAACAAATTTGTTTCACATCGCCAGTAAGATCAAAGAACAAAATAAAGCCGGAAAAAAAACTTTTTTTGTGTTCCATTTCGTTTTTCTTTTTCTGTGTTTTACCCCACACCGCAAGGTAATGGGTCTATCTATCTATCTAAATCTATCTTAAACGCAGATAGAGGAAACTTTTAATTTTTAATGTTCTCCGTTAAAAGTGTTTTGGTCTAACTAATAATCAAGACAACTGACATTTAGTTCAATGATTTTTCCTATCGATTCAGATTATTTTAATCGTTTTATAAACATATTTTGTCATTTTCTAACGCTAAAAATTTAGAATTAAATTATACATGATCGAATAGGTATCTAATGTTGCTACGAAAACGAATACAATATTTTCATCAAATCTATTTTTCGAGTATCCTGTACACGTCAGAATAAGCAGCAAGAAAAGACTTTTCTTGGAGTATACAGGTAATATTCCTTAAACCACATAGTGACGTACACTGAACGTATCTCACTGCGTTGAGGACGAGATACAATTACCAGAAAAATATGTCAAACACAGTGCATCCTTTGATCAACACCATATTACTAATCGTTAATTTACGTTTTGGTCCTGGGATCAGAAATGCAACCGGAACGGACGCCCGTTCCCGGTCCGATCAGGTTGAGACTTATCAACCCGGCCGGTTCCGGTCAAATTACTGGACCGAACTCGGTCGAGTTGGACCGCGCCCGATTGATTTAGCTTATAACTAGAACATATGACAGAAAATAGCGTGTTCATATTGAACAGAAAGCAAAAAACACCGGTCGCTTACCGGTCAAAGTTTTTAAAAATAGCCGGTCCGATCCGGTGGCCACATTTACGCCGGTCACCGGTCAAGATTTTGTTGACCGGTAGCGTCTCTGCCTGGGATACACAAGAATAAAACATTCATAAAATAGTTTCTCAGTGTGATGAAAGAAGATATACCTTTTTTGTTTTAGTGTTATTATTTTACCTTTTTTTTTGTTGAATGTTAAACCTTTGATTTTTAATTTTGAATGGTAAAATTTTGATCATTTTTCACAAAAAATAAATTCGAAGACATACTGGGTAAAAGAAAGAAATGAAGTTTTCCTTATTGTATTCGTATATCATCAATATCCGCTGTCCACGATGTTTCTTTAACTTTTCTCCGGTGAACATTATCGACGTCATGATGAGGTAGCCAAGAAGAAATAGATACTATACAATGATTCTTTTCTATCTCTCATCTGAACGAACACATAGGCAATATAGAACGATATTCATATTTAATGGAAGTTCAACACATTCGAATTGCACTTCCAGCTTCACGATAAGTGTACTATTTGTGTCTTTCCGTACCATGTACATCCAGTATCTGTAGAAATATTGTGAATCATTGTCTGATGAACGAAATTATTAATTTTAGTCATCAAATTGCTTGAATCTACCCTGAATTATAAAACATATTCGGTGCCTGCGATCATATTTCCAGAAGAGTTAACACACAGTTGTTTTCTATAGATGGTGGAAATAAATAAATAAGACAAAAAATGACATCAAAATGAACTAGAACATTTGCTGTACAGAAACAATGCGAAAAGTAAAGAAAGAAAAAGCACTTTGATCTATACAGTACATATACTCCATTTAGTTTTGTGAAACTCCTCCCGTCTTACAAAGTAGAGGGAGTTTCAGTTTATACTCAAAAACCAGGCGAATACTAATTATTTTGAACCCCCCTCTTCCTGCTTACACGCGCTTAAAAAGTACCCTTACACTATCTTAAAATGGTCTTTACGTGATCTGAAAACGAGCCTTACGCGATCTGAAAAGGTTTACGCGACCGACTATGGTACTTTTACTATGGTGATCTTAAACTGTGTTTTACACGATCTTAAAGTGGCCATTACGCCATCTTAAGGTTATGCACATCTTTTAGAGACATTGAGTTGTAATTAGATGTGTATGTACATCATCTGAAGGCTGGCTTTACATGATTTTACAGTGCTTTTACGCGACGTTATGTCGCTCTTTGCTTTATCTTTACCCTCGATGCACAGTGGGCATTTCCTCATAGAGCAGGCGGCATTTTTTGCCGACATAGTTTTTTTGAATCCAAAAGCACTTTTTTATAGGTTTTCGCATACGGTATTTCCAGCAGTGTGGCAAAGGTGAGTC